ACTGGTCTTGGCCCTCATAGGGCCTGTTGGGTCTTCTATAGGCTTGAGCTTTACCCATGGATTGGGCCATTTGAGCCTGGACCATCATTTTCCCCCCAATGCCCTGCGTGACGGAACTTGGAAAGGAGGGCCTTCAGGCTGAATTTGAGTTTTCGGACGACCGGCATAACTGAAAAAACTTCAGGAGGCCTGAACTTGTGTTTTTAGGCTTTTTTTGAATTTTCAACGGCATCAATCACAGCCAAAGGCTATGTGTCTTGTAAGGCTCACTGAGAGCTTCGATTTGATATATTATAAGCCTCATTTCGAGCAAATGATCAAAAGTTATAGTCAAACTTTGAGTAGAAAGCTAGGCGAGCGGTTTGGGAGAGCAACAGCTTCCAGGCGAGCAGGGCACTATTCTGGGCGAGCAGAATTTTTTTTTTTTCTAAGCTTCAAAAAGCCAAAACACCTGTTTCTGAAATTTTTTTGGACTTTTTTTGAAAAGCTCATTGTCAAAGGAAATGAGTTTTGCTCACCACGTCAAGAGCTTCGATTTGGTATATAATAAGTCCCATTTTGAGTTACGAAGTAAAAGTTGCGGTCGAAATTGCAAGTAGGGAGTTGCACGCGCATTTTTGGGCGAGCAGACAGCATTCTGGGCATGCTAGCAGCATCCTGAGCGAGCACCTGATTTTTTTTTTTTAACTTCGAGAGGTCAAAACAACTCTTTCTAGGCCTTTTTCGGACTTTTTTTAAAAAGCTCATTACTAATTGTAATGAGTTTTGCTCAGCTCGTCGAGAGCTTCGATTTGGTATATAGTAAGTCCCATTTTGAGTTACGATCAAAATAGCGTGCAACCCTTTTTAAATCCGATTTTTTTGAAGACTCCTTTTGATTGTCAACTCCCTCCCTTGCAGTAGACTCCTTTAGCTATGAAAACTTCCTTTTTCTTTTTTCTTTTTTGAAGAGCCCCATTCAATATAATCTTGAGTGAGAAGGAGAGCTTTTCTTAAAATCCTCCAAGAACACATAGGTGAGGCTCTTAAGTTGAAAGCTTTGAACAATGTCGAATGGAGAGGAGCTTGTGGATCTTGGTGGAAAGCCTGAAGAGGAGGGGGAGGAACTTCTCACCCATTTAGGCATTGATCTAAGCGATGAGCTAGTGGTGGGCACTATTGGGCGCGCAGTAGGGGCAAGTAAGGGAGACTTGGGCGTGCCTGTGGACCACATAGGGACGCCGAAGTTGGAGTAGGCTACTAGTGTAAGTAGTTTGGCATGCACTTCTGCTGGTCAAGGATCAGGCGCTGAGGCCCAGGTGCAAAGCGCCCAGGCTGAGGCAGCCTAGGCGAAGCCCTTAGGCGAGTGGAACAACTCTGGGGAGTGCACCTATGGGCGCCCAGGCGTGGTGCGTGCTGATGGGTCGAGCAAAAAGGGGCGCCTAGGCGTTGTTGTGCGCGCGAATCAGTTGGGCGAGCATCTCGCTGTGCAGGGCCACTTGGGTTAGCAACCTGTTGCGCTGGACATCTTGGGCGAGCATGGGTATGCCTTAGTCACTAATCCAGTTGAGCAAGGAGGAGGAAAGAGGACTGGTCTTGGTTTGCAGGCGCCATTTTGGGCGAGCACAGAGGGTTAGATGCCCCTCCAGGCGCTGGAATGCCCCTCTTGGGCGAGCAGAGGGGGTCAAGCACTCCTTGGCGTGCTTGGCGCCGCCGACCAGGCATCCCAGGTGTTGAGTGCCAGATAGATGAGGCCCCGATTGTTGACATTCAATTTAACGTAGTCCTCGAGTTACAGATGATCTGAGTTTCAAGATCCTGCCTAGAGATGGCAAAAATAATGTTATTCTAAACATCAAAATATTTAACATGATTATCTGGAGAGAGAGGTAGGCTATTTGCGCAAGAGCAAAGACAGAGTTTGAGGACTGCTCGTGATAGAGCTATACCTTTTGAGATCGAGCTTTTGGTGACCCATGAGAGAGTCCTTAAGCTTGAGATATAAACTGTCTGTTTGAGAACAGTACAGAGGCCAAGCTTTTGGCGACTCGCGAGAGAGCCACTAAGCTGGAGATGTTGGCTACCTGTTTGATAACAGTACAAAAGTCAAACTTTTGGCGATCCGCGAGATGATTCACCTTGCCTAGACCTGTTGATTTCCTCAACATTCATATATTTTTGAACTTTTGTCAATATTTCTGGCATGCATTTTAGTGGTCGCTTCATCACTGAAAAGAGGAAGCTTGACGAGCGGAGGCCTCCCAAGAAGGCGGTCATAGTTACTTTGTCACCAGGCTCCTCAACCTGGAGGACCTCCTCGTTAAAACGAGTGAGGTAACTCCTCAGGCTCTCGTCTCGGTCCTGCTTTATGCTGAGCAGGTGGGTGACGAGATTCTGGTGGCTGCGCCCTCTGATAAAGTATGACACAAAAGACTTGCTCAGCTCAGCAAAGGGGGCGATGGAAGCTTGGGAGAGCTTGGCGAACCATTGTCTGGTGGATCTCTTCAAGGTGGTCGGGAATGCCCTACACACGATCNGCTCAGCAAAGGGGGCGATGGAAGCTTGGGAGAGCTTGGCGAACCATTGTCTGGTGGATCTCTTCAAGGTGGTCGGGAATGCCCTACACACGATCTCTTCGGGGATATTATGCAACTGTATTAGAGTTTTGTAGGTTTCGAGGTGATCAAGTGGGTCATTCATACTACCAAAGGTTTCGACGAATGGCATTTTGAACTTCTGGGAAAGCGGGTAATTCACCACGTCAGGAATGAAGGGTGTGTCGGTTCGCTTAACAAGGTAGTCCACTGTCTCGGGTCCTTGTGCCTTCATAGCATTGAAGATGTTGCCTAGTTGATTTTGCACCTCTTTTATTTTTTCGTCCCAATGGTTGGGAGCTTTTTTGAAATTATCTTAGAAATGACTTTCATGTTCCATGCTCTGGTTCTCACCCTCGTCCTCTTGGAAGAGAGGATCTCCACCATGAGAAGGGGGAGTTGGAGGTCCCTCGTGGGGAGCTCTCCTGTACTGGGCGCCTGATGGGGCTCCCAAGGGTGGGGCGCCAAGATGTGGAGCACCTATGTGGGGAGCTCCTTGATGCCTAGGGCATGGAGCTCCTCGAGTTTGAGGTCTAGACTGTGCTCCTCCTTGCCCAACGAGCATCAGTTGCAGGATCTACTAGTTCTGGGCCGCAAGTTGCTGCATGGTCTCGAGCATCTGCTGCGCATTTGGGGCAGGATTGGTTGGTTGAGAAGAAACCTCCTCCTCTCTTGGTGGTGGGTTATCTTCAAGCTAATTCATGGATTTGGTGGTGATCACCATTAGTTCAGCAAATAAAGTGTTTAGAAATGAGAATTTTGTCGTTCCCACAGACGGCGCCAAATTGATGATGCACAAAATTGGTTTGCACACCACCTGTCAATTAAATAATATAAAATGCAATAAAGTATAGAGAGAGAAGACAAAGTTTATAGTGGTTTGGTCAATATGACCTACGTCCACTTTGAATGGCAAGGGTCGCCGGAATTTTATTATCTCTGGTATGAAGGGAGAGCACAAAATTATNGGTTCGGTCAATATGACCTACGTCCACTTTGAATGGCAAGGGTCGCCGGAATTTTATTATCTCTGGTATGAAGGGAGAGCACAAAATTATAAGCTTTGAGAGGGGAGGAGAGAATTATGCTCAAATGAGTCTGATGCCCCCCAAGTGTTGGTGGGGCTTACAATTTATAGTTGTCCGCATAGTAATTGGATGGCTAGTATGACGGTCATAAAAGATCGGGTGCCTTTAAGAGTAATTAAGTGGCTTGGCGACCTCTCATCTCCTTGGTGACCTCTCCTTTCTTCAACCAGCAAGGAAATTATGATGCACTCCAAAGGACTTAGTCAAGGGATGTGGAAAGGTTGACTCTCTCCAGGCCGTGAGGGATAGGCTCCCAGATGCTCCTTTGGTGGTGCAGCTCCCTGATGAGCTTGACTGGTCTTGGCCCTCATAGGGCCTGTTGGGTCTTCTATAGGCTTGAGCTTTACCCATGGATTGGGCCATTTGAGCCTGGACCATCATTTTCCCCCCAATGCCCTGCGTGACGGAACTTGGAAAGGAGGGCCTTCAGGCTGAATTTGAGTTTTCGGACGACCGGCATAACTGAAAAAACTTCAGGAGGCCTGAACTTGTGTTTTTAGGCTTTTTTTGAATTTTCAACGGCATCAATCACAGCCAAAGGCTATGTGTCTTGTAAGGCTCACTGAGAGCTTCGATTTGATATATTATAAGCCTCATTTCGAGCAAATGATCAAAAGTTATAGTCAAACTTTGAGTAGAAAGCTAGGCGAGCGGTTTGGGAGAGCAACAGCTTCCAGGCGAGCAGGGCACTATTCTGGGCGAGCAGAATTTTTTTTTTTTCTAAGCTTCAAAAAGCCAAAACACCTGTTTCTGAAATTTTTTTGGACTTTTTTTGAAAAGCTCATTGTCAAAGGAAATGAGTTTTGCTCACCACGTCAAGAGCTTCGATTTGGTATATAATAAGTCCCATTTTGAGTTACGAAGTAAAAGTTGCGGTCGAAATTGCAAGTAGGGAGTTGCACGCGCATTTTTGGGCGAGCAGACAGCATTCTGGGCATGCTAGCAGCATCCTGAGCGAGCACCTGATTTTTTTTTTTTAACTTCGAGAGGTCAAAACAACTCTTTCTAGGCCTTTTTCGGACTTTTTTTAAAAAGCTCATTACTAATTGTAATGAGTTTTGCTCAGCTCGTCGAGAGCTTCGATTTGGTATATAGTAAGTCCCATTTTGAGTTACGATCAAAATAGCGTGCAACCCTTTTTAAATCCGATTTTTTTGAAGACTCCTTTTGATTGTCAACTCCCTCCCTTGCAGTAGACTCCTTTAGCTATGAAAACTTCCTTTTTCTTTTTTCTTTTTTGAAGAGCCCCATTCAATATAATCTTGAGTGAGAAGGAGAGCTTTTCTTAAAATCCTCCAAGAACACATAGGTGAGGCTCTTAAGTTGAAAGCTTTGAACAATGTCGAATGGAGAGGAGCTTGTGGATCTTGGTGGAAAGCCTGAAGAGGAGGGGGAGGAACTTCTCACCCATTTAGGCATTGATCTAAGCGATGAGCTAGTGGTGGGCACTATTGGGCGCGCAGTAGGGGCAAGTAAGGGAGACTTGGGCGTGCCTGTGGACCACATAGGGACGCCGAAGTTGGAGTAGGCTACTAGTGTAAGTAGTTTGGCATGCACTTCTGCTGGTCAAGGATCAGGCGCTGAGGCCCAGGTGCAAAGCGCCCAGGCTGAGGCAGCCTAGGCGAAGCCCTTAGGCGAGTGGAACAACTCTGGGGAGTGCACCTATGGGCGCCCAGGCGTGGTGCGTGCTGATGGGTCGAGCAAAAAGGGGCGCCTAGGCGTTGTTGTGCGCGCAAATCAGTTGGGCGAGCATCTCGCTGTGCAGGGCCACTTGGGTTAGCAACCTGTTGCGCTGGACATCTTGGGCGAGCATGGGTATGCCTTAGTCACTAATCCAGTTGAGCAAGGAGGAGGAAAGAGGACTAGTCTTGGTTTGCAGGCGCCATTTTGGGCGAGCACAGAGGGTTAGATGCCCCTCCAGGCGCTGGAATGCCCCTCTTGGGCGAGCAGAGGGGGTCAAGCACTCCTTGGCGTGCTTGGCGCCGCCGACCAGGCATCCCAGGTGTTGAGTGCCAGATAGATGAGGCCCCGATTGTTGACATTCAATTTAACGTAGTCCTCGAGTTACAGATGATCTGAGTTTCAAGATCCTGCCTAGAGATGGCAAAAATAATGTTATTCTAAACATCAAAATATTTAACATGATTATCTGGAGAGAGAGGTAGGTTGTTTGCGCAAGAGCAAAGACAGAGTTTGAGGACTGCTCGTGATAGAGCTATACCTTTTGAGATCGAGCTTTTGGCGACCCATGAGAGAGTCCTTAAGCTTGAGATATAAACTGTCTGTTTGAGAACAGTACAGAGGCCAAGCTTTTGGCGACTCGCAAGAGAGCCACTAAGCTGGAGATGTTGGCCGCCTGTTTGATAACAGTGCAAAAGTCAAAATTTTGGCGATCCGCGAGATGATTCACCTTGCCTAGACCTGTTGATTTCCTCAGCATTCATATATTTTTGAACTTTTGTCAATAGTTCTGGCATGCATTTTAGTGGTCGCTTCATCACTGAAAAGAGGAAGCTTGACGAGCGGAGGTCTCCCAAGAAGGCAGTCATAGTTACTTTGTCACCAGGCTCCTCAACCTGGAGGACCTCCTCGTTAAAACGAGTGAGGTAGCTCCTCAGGCTCTCGTCTCGGTCCTGCTTTATGCTGAGCAGGTGGGTGACGAGATTCTGGTGGCTGCGCCCTCTGATAAAGTATGACACAAAAGACTTGCTCAACTCAGCAAAGGGGGCGATGGAAGCTTGGGAGAGCTTGGCGAACCATTGTCTGGTGGATCTCTTCAAGGTGGTCGGGAACGCCCTACACATGATCTCTTCGAGGATATTATGCAACTGTATTAGAGTTTTGTAGGTTTCGAGGTGATCAAGTGGGTCATTCATACTACCAAAGGTTTCGACGAATGGCATTTTGAACTTCTGGGAAAGCGGGTAATTCACCACGTCAGGAATGAAGGGTGTGTCGGTTCGCTTAACAAGGTAGTCCACTGTCTCGGGTCCTTGTGCCTTCATAGCATTGAAGATGTTGCCTAGTTGATTTTGCACCTCTTTTATTTTTTCGTCCCAATGGTTGGGAGCTTTTTTGAAATTATCTTAGAAATGACTTTCATGTTCCATGCTCTGGTTCTCACCCTCGTCCTCTTGGAAGAGAGGATCTCCACCATGAGAAGGGGGAGTTGGAGGTCCCTCGTGGGGAGCTCTCCTGTACTGGGCGCCTGATGGGGCTCCCAAGGGTGGGGCGCCAAGATGTGGAGCACCTATGTGGGGAGCTCCTTGATGCCTAGGGCATGGAGCTCCTCGAGTTTGAGGTCTAGACTGTGCTCCTCCTTGCCCAACGAGCATCAGTTGCAGGATCTACTAGTTCTGGGCCGCAAGTTGCTGCATGGTCTCGAGCATCTGCTGCGCATTTGGGGCAGGATTGGTTGGTTGAGAAGAAACCTCCTCCTCTCTTGGTGGTGGGTTATCTTCAAGCTAATTCATGGATTTGGTGGTGATCACCATTAGTTCAGCAAATAAAGTGTTTAGAAATGAGAATTTTGTCGTTCCCACAGACGGCGCCAAATTGATGATGCACAAAATTGGTTTGCACACCACCTGTCAATTAAATAATATAAAATGCAATAAAGTATAGAGAGAGAAGACAAAGTTTATAGTGGTTTGGTCAATATGACCTACGTCCACTTTGAATGGCAAGGGTCACTGGAATTTTATTATCTCCGGTGTGGAGGGAGAGCACAGGATTACAAGCTTTGAGAGGAGAGGAGAGGAGAGAATTATGCTCAAATGAGTCTGATGCCCCCCAAGTGTTGGTGGGACTTACAATTTATAGTTACCTGCGTAGTAATTGGATGGCTAGTATGACGGTCATAACAGATCGGGTGCCTTTAAGAGTAATTAAGTGACTAGGCGACCTCTCATCTCCTTGGTGACCTCTCCTTTCCTTAACCAACAAGGAAATTATGATGCACTCCAAATGACTTGGTCAAGGGATGTGGAAAGGTCGACTCTTTTCAAGTCGCAAGGGATAGGCTCCTAGATGCTCCCTTGGTGGTGTAGCTCCCTGATGAGCTTGACAGGTCTTGGCCCTCATAGGGCCTGTCGGGTCTTCTATAGGCTTGAGATTTACCCATGAATTGCGCCATTTGCGCCTGGTCCATCAGACACAACACACACACACGCCCCTCTCTCTTTCACTTTTCAGAATTTACCCCATTCCCCCAATAGGTTTTTAAGAATCCNTCATACTTCCAGTGAGGTGTTGAAGATGAAGATGAAGATGAAAAAGAAGAAGGGTGATCTTGAGTGCAATTACCAGCCATGGACAAACACAAGACCTTATCAGATGGATGAAGATTGGTTGAGCAGTGACTTTGTACAAGTGAAACATTTGATAGCTTCTATGTGTGCACTGTGGTCTTGTGCTTCTGTTAGTCCATTCTTGCTTGCTCGTGGAAAAGTCTTTGAAGTGTAATTGTAGAGTATTTCAACCGCACAAAAAAATGAGAAACAAAAAAAGAACAAATCTCGAACCTTATTCTTAAGAAAGTAAGAAAGAAAATTTTTTAATTTTGCTCCCTTAACTATGATTATTATCTCATATTACCCCTTCAATTATCATGTTATTCACATTGCACCTATAATTCTGTCTATTAATTTTAAATCGCTGCAACAATTAATGTCCATTACAAATTTGAGCGAATGTTGTCTCATTTCACCTCCGAACTATGTGATTTGGTTTCATTTTGGCTTCCGCTTTCATTCAAAAGACAAGGGTCAAACTTGCTTTTGGGGCAGTGTGAAACTAAGTTAAGTAATTGAAGATGTACTGTGAGAAATACAATAGTTTAAGGGACAAATTGAGATAAATATCATAGTTGAGGGGTCCAAATACAATTTACCCAAATAAAATTGTAAGGTTGAGGCCATCGTGTATCCAGCTCACGTGGAATTTCAATGTCCCTTTAAGTGGTAGACCACGCGTTTAAAGGAATCTAATTGCCACAGATCTGAAATTGTACCTTTGGAGTAGAATTAGTGGCCCAGGGAATGAATTCTTTAATTAATTGGACCACCATGTCTGCCATGATGTAGATGTTCCAGCAGACCTGCAGGATGACTTTTGACTTGTGGTTTTCTCAATGCTATGGCACCTAAGGTGATTTTTCTTTTATTTTAAGTTATAATTTTTTAGATATTGAAATATTATAATTAATTATAAAAATTATAATTTTTAAAAGTCAAATTACAACTCGTAAAAGAGAAATTAGGACTCGTAAAGAATAAGTTAAAATTCATTCAAGTAATTAATGATAAATCACAACATTTTATGATTGATCATAAATTATTTTAATTAATTATAATTTTTTTAAAAAAATAATAATTTTTAGTATGATACTAATTTTTTTAAAACCCTAAAATTACCGTATTGCTAAACCAAGTTTTAAGATCAGTTTTTAAACTAATATTTTTCTAGCTTTATTACTTTTTTATAGTGATTTTTAACTTATTTTTAATTTGTAGGAATTTCTATAAAAGCTTAGTTTAAAATCTTCAATGCAAAAGCATGAATTGAAAACACTTCCGTGTTCTACAAAAAGTTTGTTTTGCAAACACATTTTTATTTAAAAAAAAAAATAATTACACCATGATTTTATGAGACTCAGCGTGGGTGGATGAATGAATAGGATCCATTAACTCCACCAAACATTCAATATATATGATTTTTACATATTATTTGAGATAAACGATTTAGTAAATAAAAATTACTGTTAAAAAATTAAATTCTTAACTTATAAAACCCTAACAATATCATAATTGATTTAATTTTCATATATTTTTATCCAATAGTATAAAATTTTTTCTANCAAGACCTTATCAGTTGGATGAAGATTGGTTGAGCAGTGACTTTGTACAAGTGAAACATTTGATAGCTTCTATGTGTGCACTGTGGTCTTGTGCTTCTGTTAGTCCATTCTTGCTTGCTCGTGGAAAAGTCTTTGAAGCGTAATTGTAGAGTATTTCAACCGCACAAAAAAATGAGAAACAAAAAAAGAACAAATCTCGAACCTTATTCTTAAGAAAGTAAGAAAGAAAATTTTTTAATTTTGCTCCCTTAACTATGATTATTACTCATATTACCCCTTCAATTATCATGTTATTCACATTGCACCTATAATTATGTCTATTAATTTTAAATCGCTGCAACAATTAATGTCCATTACAAATTTGAGCGAATGTTGTCTCATTTCACCTCCGAACTATGTGATTTGGTTTCATTTTGGCTTCCGCTTTCATTCAAAAGACAAGGGTCAAACTTGCTTTTGGGGCAGTGTGAAACTAAGTTAAGTAATTGAAGATGTACTGTGAGAAATACAATAGTTTAAGGGACAAAATGAGATAAATATCATAGTCGAGGGGTCCAAATACAATTTACCCAAATAAAATTGTAAGGTTGAGGCCATCTTGTATCCAGCTCACGTGGAATTTCAATGTCCCTTTAAGTGGTGGACCACGCGTTTAAAGGAATCTAATTGCCACAGATCTGAAATTGTACCTTTGGAGTAGAATTAGTGGCCAAGGGAATGAATTCTTTAATTAATTGGACCACCATGTCTGCCATGATGTAGATGTTCCAGCAGACCTGCAGGATGACTTTTGACTTGTGGTTTTCTCAATGCTATGGCACCCAAGGTGATTTTTCTTTTATTTTAAGTTATAATTTTTTAGATATTGAAATATTATAATTAATTATAATTTTTAAAAGTCAAATTACAACTCGTAAAAGAGAAATTAGGACTCGTAAAGAATAAGTTAAAATTCATTCAAGTAATTAATGATAAATCACAACATTTTATGATTGATCATAAATTATTTTAATTAATTATAATTTTTTTAAAAAAATAATAATTTTTAGTATGATACTAATTTTTTTAAAACCCTAAAATTACCGTATTGCTAAACCAAGTTTTAAGATCAGTTTTTAAACTAATATTTTTCTAGCTTTATTACTTTTTTATAGTGATTTTTAACTTATTTTTAATTTGTAGGAATTTCTATAAAAGCTTAGTTTAAAATCTTCAATGCAAAAGCATGAATTGAAAACACTTCCGTGTTCTACAAAAAGTTTGTTTTGCAAACACATTTTTATTTAAAAAAAAAAATGATTACACCATGATTTTATGAGACTCAGCGTGGGTGGATGAATGAATAGGATCCATTAACTCCACCAAACATTCAATGCATATGATTTTTACATATTATTTGAGATAAACGATTTAGTAAATAAAAATTACTGTTAAAAAATTAAATTCTTAACTTATAAAACCCTAACAATATCATAATTGATTTAATTTTCATCTATTTTGATCCAATAGTATAAAATTTTTTCTAAAAATTTTTTCTCAAAAATATCATTTTTTATACTGAATAACTCAGCCAACACACTTCCCAAATACCAAACAATCTCAATAATTTATACTTAGCTCTCACTTATTTTTTTTATTCACTTTAATTTAAAATTACATAATTAAAAAAATAAAATATAAATTATTATTTAAAATATAAATATTATACTTTTTAGTATTGTGAAATGTATTAGGCACATATTATTGCTAATAAAGTTATAAAATCACTATTTTGACAAAAAGATTCCAACTTTAATTGGTGCCAATGCCAACTTGGAGCAAGTATGGGTGGAAAAGTGAAAATGTCTTTAATTATCAAAGGATCTACGACTAGTTGGCATCTTGGGAGCTAACCATTGACATGAAAAAGAAGTTGGGTAGGCATAAAAATCGAGTTGAAAAAGCTTTGGATATGAGTGTGAGAGCAGTATCATCAATGTGCATTCACTCTCTTAGTAGCCACTTTTTTTCTGAAGAGTGTATGGACATGATTTCCCATTGGTAAAGTTGATAAGAATTTAAATTTTTTTATTTAATATTTAAGTTCGAGTCTATGTACTCTACAACTATGAAAATTCTGTGATGCTAAACTTTTTCTTTAATGTTCACGGCATGCGGTAAGATATCCTTATCAGATTTGTAGAATAATTTATTTGCATATGTATTTTTAGTACAACAAAAAAAAGAAAGAGTGCACCTTATTTTAAGAAGAATTTAACTTTGAAGTCTCTATGAAATAACACATATCTACTTTTTTTTTGTACTAACAATGTACCACGTGCGTTGTATGTGAATAATTTTCATACATAAAATATAAATAAAAAATTTAAGTATATGTGTACCTAAATTAAATATCATCTCAAGTTTATAAAAATTATGTTTTGACTCCGCCTCCGTCCTTGCCCTCGCCCTCCAACAAAGAAAGTATTACACTCTTACCCTTCATTAATGTTTAATCTTTCTTTAATGATAATTTAAAGTCAAGTTTAGTAGTCGAAATTGTTAGACCCACAAATTCTACTTAGCGTTACTATTTCATCGAAAAGATTAACAGGCTCCCATCTTCAATACTTTCTTTAATTTGTCCGCGCAGCCCTAACCGATCTCTCTTGCAGTCCGCCATCACCCAAAATTATCTTTCCTTTACTCCCCCTTCCCCTTCCCCTCCCTCTCTCCCTCTCTCTCTCTCTCTCTCTCTCTCTTCCAATACCATTGAACACCTACACTCCATATTCCCCTCCAAACTCTCTCTATGTTTCTCTTCTCCTCAAAACTGATTTATTCGTGTTACGTTTTATTTTTAATTTCATCTTTGAATTGGTTGAGTTCGGTNTGCAGTCCGCCATCACCCAAAATTATCTTTCCTTTACTCCCCCTTCCCCTTCCCCTTCCCCTTCCCCTCTCCCTCTCTCTCTCTCTCTCTCTCTCTCTCTCTCTCTCTCTCTCTTCCAATACCATTGAACACCTACACTCCATATTCCCCTGCAAACTCTCTCTATGGTTCTCTTCTCCTCAAAACTGATTTATTCGTGTTACGTTTTATTTTTAATTTCATATTTGAATTGGTTGAATTCGGTGGCTGTGTAAATCGTGCAGCAATGGGAATTCTGTCAAGCACTCGGTAATTCTTTGGCACTTCTGCTCACGGTAAACTCTCTCCCTCTTTCTCTACCTATGAGCTTATGTAAGTTATGGATATAGGGATTTTCATGGAAGGGATGAATACCATTATTATACTTGCGACGTAAAAGTTAATTTTTATGTGATTTATACTCGTCGAGCTATGATGAGAAGTAGTGAATTGGATGTGTACAGCATTTTGGTGACAAGAGGGCTGAGAATGTTGGCTCTAGCAANCTTCTGCTCACGGTAAACTCTCTCCCTCTTTCTCTACCTATGAGCTTATGTAAGTTATGGATATAGGGATTTTCATGGAAGGGATGAATACCATTATTATACTTGCGACGTAAAAGTTAATTTTTATGTGATTTATACTCGTCGAGCTATGATGAGAAGTAGGGAATTGGATGTGTACAGCATTTTGGTGACAAGAGGGCTGAGAATGTTG